GAGGGGGGGGATGAAACAACTAAGCCACACAGAGTCAATCACAGCCATACAGTTTCAAAATTCTAAAGGTTCAATGATCAGGAGAAAACATCTGTTGCACACCTAACTCACCCTTTGGGGCTGGCTTCTCGTAGAATCTTCTTGATGGACCGGAACGTGGGCCTTTTCTCGGGAGATTCATCCCAACACGCCCTCACCAGGACTGCGATCCTCTCACTGACCTTCTCCTCCGACAGTGAAGGTCGGAGGGGAGCCGAAGTCCTGGGCTCTCTGATTCGGCTGATGATTTCTGAAATCCATTTTGGGTTTAGACAGCCAAACGTCAGGACTTTGTGTCATTTAGTACACTTCACTTTAAACAGATGTGCTCTTAAATTTGTAAGCTGAGTTTCCAAGTAAATTGAACAGATTAGAATTTCAGAGAAATCTGAATCTTTTATAAGAAATATTCTGAATCCCCCTGGAAAATGAAAATTTCTTAAATGTAAATCCTACAAGTACCTCCTGACTTATCTGTTTTTATATTATTTTTTCCTAATAGAACTTTTCTTTAAGTGAAGCATATCTCTGTATGATTTTAGAAGTGTATAAGCATTTTGTGTTAGAAATCCCCAAGGTGCGTTTTATACAATTTTCCATTCAATATATGTTATATACAAGACATTTTAACATATAATAAATGCTACCTCCATGCCCTGCCTCTCCGTCCAACTTTGTAAACCTACTTTCCTTCCCTTTCTCATTGGCTTCTACCAAAATTTATTAAACATTCTGTTAACCAGGTTTTGTAAAGGAAATATGGTGAGAACTATGTCCACATGTTTTGGTATAAAATTACTGTAGATGCAACAATATGGATAGATCTTAAATGTATATTACTAAGTCTAAGAAGCCAGTCTGTAAAGGCTCTATGATTCTGTTTATGTGATGTTCTGGAAAAGGCAAAATTATAGAGACATTAAGCAGATCAGAGGCTGCCAGGAGTTTGGGGAGGAGAGAGGGTTGAATAGGCGAAGGACCAGAATTTTTTTTAGGGTGATAAATCTATTTTGTATGACACTATAATGGTGGGTACCTATTTGCCAAGACTCATAGAACTTGACAGCACAAAGTGAACCTTAAAGAATGCTAATTAAAAATATCAGTTGGGAGACTGGATGACCCCAAGACAGAATGCAGACTTGTGACAAAACAGTCTAACTGCATTACAAATGTGTGACATAATCCCGCTGAGGGAGGTGGAGGTTGGGGGACTGGAGACTCAAGAAACTTTTGACATGACCAGAGACTGTAAGACTGAAGACAAAAGGAACTGTTCATAATTACTATATTCCAGTTGGTCAGACTGCTTCATGATCTAACTCATTTTCTAAGAGGATCTGGCTGCTGTTGTAGAGTAAACTATGTAATTCTGAGTTCCTTGATTTTTTTTAAATCAAATTGCAATGGTTTTCTAATTCTTTTAAAAAATATAATTTTTAAAAAGAAAAAATAAGCCCGGCCGGGTGTGGCTCAGCAGTTGAGCATCGACCTAGGGTCCAGGCGATCGGGCTTCGATTCCCGGTCAGGGCACATGCCAAGGTTGTGGGCTCGATCAATGACTCTCTCATCATTGATGTTTCTATCTCTCTCTCTCCCTCTCCTTTCCTCTCTCTGAAATCAATAAAGATATATATATATATATTTTTAAAAAGATAAGACTGAAATAAATTGTAAATTAATGAACATTTAGTAAAGCCATCAATAAAGCAAGCATTTACAAGGCAACCCTGGTAATCAAGGCCTGCGGAGGAGCCGCCCCAGCTTTACCTTCTGGCGTCTGGTCGCGGTCGTCAAAGGGCCCATGGTCGTGCTGGTGGACCAGCCCCCTCATCAGAATGGCGAAGCTGTAAACGTCTCCCTCCGGGGAGCCTGAGCGGGGCGCCCCTGGGAGCCGCAGCAGCTCCGGGGCCGTCCAGTAGAGCTCTGCGAAGCAGCGAGACGCAGGCTGGGAGTGAGAGGCTCCAGGGAGCACCGGGAAGCCCCCCTTTCCATCTCGGGGAAGCTCAGAGAAATGAAAGCATCCAGCCCCCGAGAAGTCAGCCCCCACGGTGCCGACTCACAGGGTAACAGGGGTCCCCATGGTGGATACAGAGCAGGCAGCCAGGAAGGGTGGGCACTGGCATGTTACAGAAGCTAGCCCGTGGCTGTGCAGTGACAGGTGGTGTTCCTTTTACTTTTCCCTTTCCCTTTCTGAATTGCCTGCATATCATAAAATTAACCATTTCAAAGTGAGAATTCAGTGGCACTTAGTACATTCACAAATGTTGAGAAGCCACCACCTCTATCCAGTTCCCAACTATTTCCATCACCCCAAAGTAAACCTTGTACCCATTAAGCAGTTTTTCTTTGTCTCCCTCTATCCCCAGCCCCTGAAAACCACCAGCCTGCATTCTGTTTCTAGATTTATCTATTCTGGATATTTTATGCACTTACTTTTTTTTTGCAGTGAGGTGTATAGATTTGTGTTACTATAGGTTATAATAATTAAAAGAAAATATAGTGGAGGGTGGAGAAGTAGGAGTGACTACAAGCAGGTTTTTTAAATGCCCCTTTGTCTTCCTCTGTAAGACACGTCCTGTCCCATGTTACGGGACCTCCCCACATGCTCTCAGCAAAGCTGCTGGCCACGTGCTGCTCCAGAGAGAGGCAGTCAGGGCTGAGGGCACTGAGCTCATCAGGGCCCGGAGACATGCAAGGTGAGACGCGAGAGCACTCAATCAACTCTGGACATGTAGGAAGAGTCCCTGAGCCTCGACTGCTCTCATGAGAAGGAGGGTTGGACTCCAGGTGGTGGGTGTTTCTTGAGATGAACGTCAGAGTCACTTGAGAGCTTTTAAAAACAATACGATGCCCAGGCCCCATCTTTAGATAGTCTGACTCAGTGGCTGTGGCGTGGGACCCAGCCAGCACCTACATATTTTTAAAAGTTTCTCAAGCGATACTGAAACAGAGAGAACAGAACCTCCCAACCCTTCATCCTTAGAGTGCCTGGCAGATTGTCCTTCTATACTGAGGAGGTGGGAAGATGTGATGGGACACAGAGGACCACAGGGAAGGACAGTGACTTGTTTCAAATCACCAGGCTGAGCCGGGATGAGAGCCAGTTCCCCTAACTCAGACTTCACACCATGGACTCATGTCTCCCGCTCTCATCTCCTTGGGTGACCAGAACAGCCACACGCCACCAGCTCCAAAGGAAGGCCCGCCTGCAGGTACCTGTGCCCATGAGCATCAGGAAGCAGAGTGGGATAAGGAACCCCTTTACCACTCTGCTGATAGCTAGGGGGTCCAAGACCTGCCAATGGTTACCTGAGTGGTCCATTGCTTTCTCATTATAGGTTCTGTATGTCCGGCCGTACTTGAGTTCCCACAGCCCAAACCCTGACAGCTTCACCTGCAACCGACCATCCACCAGGCAGTTGGAAGGCTTCAGGTTGCCATGGGACTTCAGTGGGCTCCTGTGAAGAAACAGCATGCCCTGGGAGAGTGAAAATGAGCAGATGAGTTAGAGCAGGTGCCGGTGGTCACCAACGGAAGGAGAGACAGATGCATCGGAACACAGATGCACAGACCCAGGGTAGGGGACATGGCTATCTCTATTCATTTGTTCAAGAGCCACTGACAGAGCCCCTCACCCAAGGAGTCAATCTGGGCATGGACACCCAAAAAGGAGAAAACAATTTCTGGTCCCTGAAGGCCAGCTTAGTGATCAGACTCCCGAGTTTAAATCCCAGCTCTACCATTTAGTAGAGGGCAAGTCACCTGACCCCTGTCAGCTTCATTCTTCTCATCAAAAGGGAGATGACCATGAATCCTACCTCATAGGGTGGCTGTGGAAATTAAATGCAGTAATGCACGTAAGACACCAGACAATATGCATTACGCAAAGTAAATATCCACTTCAATTTAATAAAAAGTTTATATAAATATGATGAAGAATATGTACTTAATCAAAAAAAGCTTGCTAATGAAGTGAGTCAGAAAGGCTGTGACATAATAGCCAAGGCCTGGAAACAACCTACGTGTCCCTTGATGGATGATTGGGTGAAGAAGATGTGGTACATATATACAGTGAAATAGTATTCAGTCATGAAAAACGAAATATTTCCATTCCCGACAATACGGATGGGTCTTGAGAGTATCGCGTTAAGCGAGATAAGTCAGAAAAGGAAAAGAACCACATGCTTACACTCATATGCGGGATATAAAGCAGAAAGCAACAGATGAAAACCAAGGCAAATGAACTCAGACACAGACAACAGTATTTTGGTTACCAGAGGGAAGGGGGTGGGGGGAAGGCAAAGAGGGTAACGGGGGTCGAATATAGGGTGACAGAAGGAGACCAGACTTGGGGAGGTGAACACACAATGCAACCTATAGACAACCTATTTTAAAACTGTACCCTTGAATACTATATAATGTTATTAACCAGTGTCACTCCAATAAATTTACGTTTTTTAAAAAGACAGGCAGTCATAGTGCTTATTCAGCAAGGAGATGGTGGGGGGGGGTCTTTCCATAGGCAGAGGGGGGCTTGAGGAAACACCTAGAGTTGAGGAGAGAAACAATTATTTGGGAAGCATGGGCAGAAGAAGAGATTAGTTTGGAAAATGAGAAGAGTCATATATGAAACATGATTAGAGAGGCGGCTGTCTGTGTTTCTCTGACATTCCCAAGGACAGACCTAGAAGGAGTGAAATGAAAGTTAAAGGAGGAGAGCTAACTAATTTCAGATGCCAACCATCATAGCCTGGGGCAGTAGAAGGACCCACTGTTTCCATTTCGGTTCTTTATTTCCTTACTTTCCTCAATGGCATTGAGGAAGCATTTAAATACTAGTCATTCAACATCGCCAGTTTCTTGGACTTAAATTACTGACCTAAAGGCCCTCTATATCTTTCATTGGAACCTCTGAATCATTTACTTTCAGAATCTTTTGTTTGGAAGCTGGGAGAAAACCGACAACCTCAGTATGTTGGGCACAGGGCTGTCGTAGAGCCGACTTACCTGCATCAGGCTGGGCGGCCTGCGCTCCTCACACCTGCTTCAGCTGAGAGGTTGCAGGGCAAGAGCGAAAGGGCAAGCCTCTCTCTCAAGGCTGTTACCAGATCTGTTTGGGTTTGTTTGTTTGTTTGTTTTTAAGTTCAGAGTGCTAACCTTATGCCAGGTGGGGATCGAAGTCCCTTACTTAAACCAGCTAATGTAACACCTAGTGACACGTAGAGGTAGGTGGTTTGACCAAATCCTCATTTTACAGGAAAGAAAAGGGAGAAATGAACTTGGCCCAGGTCCGCAGCAGGCCAGCGATGGAGGTGGGCTGGGAATTCTGCAGTGTGACTCCCAAGCCCAGCCTCTCTACCAACTGCTCCTTTGCTAATACAAGAAGCCTATGAAGGGCAGAGGGTGAGAAGTGATTATTTTAGCTCTGAAGTTCCAGGGACACCCACACTGTAATACGGATTCGTGTTGAACAAATAAGTAACCATAAAGCCTCTTTTGAGACTTACTTAGCACTATGCGTTGAAGTACTGGGAACAGGGGACCTTATACATGTTACCTATCACATTTAGCTTTTGCTGAGACAGGCAATAGTCTCCTCGTCTGTTTCACAGCAAGGAGACTCAGGGTTTTAAACTGCTCCTAAGGAGAGGGGGCAGAGCTGGGATATAAGCCCAAGCTGGGCTGCCTTCAGAGCCCACCTACTTCTAAACCACTAGATTTTACTGTTGCCAGCACCCTGGGCGATTGTAGAGGAAAAGGGGAATGGTCCAAGTGCACCCAATTCTCTTAATACCCTTATACAAGAACAGCCAGCTCAAATGAATCTCAAGCCCAGCTGAGAAGGGAGTGAAGTCACCCATGGGCACGGCCACAAGGAGGCACTGGCCCTCAAAGTTCCAGCAAGGGCTCCTGAATGGACTATTGCCCCCAGACACAGGGTCCTTGGGCCTGTTGGGCACCACCTCTTCCTCCAGCGGTGATGACAGCTTGAGTCACTGTCTCACTTGAGCAAGAGCCCTAAGCCAATACTGCACTAAAAATACAGGCTAATACAGAAAGCAATAAGGAAAGCCGCAGAACAGTGAATATACTACCCTTGCCCCTTAACCCCCGAAAATCAGGAGGGCGTATTCCTTTATCAATGTGGCTTTGAGATGATAAAGTTGAGTCACATTTTAGAAAGCCTCCCATGGCCAGCTCTAAGAGGCTGCAGTGAATTCTGTTTCTTTTAGTAATTTCAAGGAATGCTGGCAGAATAATTGGCCTTGAAGTGCCTAAATGTGCCTTGACCGAGCTCACTGTGACTTCCTTAACCAGTCCTGTCTGTGCACATTCCATTTCAGGAGAAAGCCGTCCTTCCAAAACAAGGTGCCAAGCTGTCTTTCTGGCACAGAGCAGGGGCTAGACTCAGTGACCTAGAGCAGCTGATGTCACCAGGGAGGTTTTCCCCCTTCAATTATCATTCTCATCCACTCCAGCATTTCTCCAGAGAAAACTTTTGGCTTAATGCTTCTTGAAAGCCAAATGTCTACACTGAAAAGGCTAAATCTGTTGGGCATCCCTACCTTGGTGAGAATTCACTAGCTTTCTCTTCACATCTGATATAAATGATGTAGGCTGTTTTGAATGGGGCAGGAGACAGAGCACTGGAAGTCTAGGGCACTTCCCTGGGTTTGCTGGGTAGAGAAGAGAAAGTGGGCGAAGGGAAGGAGAGGAGCCAGAGCAGGAGGGGATGCATGCCATAGCCTAGCTGGTAACCGATCACTGCCACTTCATTAATTTTATATGTTCATTTCCTGGTTCTTTTATTCCTTTTCTCCAGCTAGATTTTAAGGCATGGGAAGTTAGAAACAATCCTTGTCTTCCTATAAAAGAGCCCGGAGTAAGATAAATCATGAAAAGATGCTCAGTAAAGTTTACTGAAATAACAGTGTTGGCCCAGCATCGTCCATAGCGACCCAATTGCAAAGAGGTTTCTGTTTGTCTAACTTGCTTCCCACTAAGGCCTAGGAAATCAAAGTCTCACCAGGCCATAAAGACTCAGCGCCTTAGAAACAAAGAGCAATTAAAGCCTTGAGAAAGAAAAGCCTTTGGATGTCAACAGACCAACCTCACCATTAACCTACATGGAGGCTGAGGGACCAAAAGTCAAAGTCACCCAAGGAGTCGCTGGCCCTGTCCTCCAGCAGGGCAGAGCTTGGGTTCTGCCTTCGTATCCCTCACGACACCCAGGCTGGGCCTTGCCCACAGGAGTCTGCTGGCTGACGGATGGGCTGTTGAATGAGAGACGACCAGCCCTGCTGGTTTTCGGACTGAGGGGCTTCCTCACCAGAACTCAGTCCCAGGTCGTTGGGTTGGTCCTCTCTTATGGTAAAACAGAGGCAGCGAGTTTAGAAGGAACAGCTGTATTGTGGCCCAGGTTGAGGAGATCAGCCTCAGGTCCGTATTGACATGGCCCACCTGACTTACCTTCCATCTATGAAATGGGGCTAATAATAGATTAGCCTTATATTTTGCTGTGAAAATTAAGTAAATTAATATATACAGAGTGCTAGAAAGTATTGGGGCCAAAGTAAGCACTAAATACATTTTAGCTATTATTATTATTAACATTCTAATTATCATCATTATTATTATTATTAATATTATTATCCTCTTTTGGCCACCACAGCCCTCTCTGGCCAAAGTATAGATCTGCCTGCTTATATAAATTCGCAGGTCTGCATCCCCTGCGCAACAGCTTTGTGGTTATTGTGGCACTGATTCCCATTTTCTGGGGAAAGGAATCTGGGACTAGGATAAAGGAAGGAGTATTAGGAATTCCTTTTCCAGCTTGCTTTATGGCCTAGTAATTAGATTTTCTTTTAGGTAAAAAATTCTATCCTAAAATGTAAATACCCTTGTCTTTCCTGATTGGGTTAACCTAGCATCCCTTCTAAATTTAGTATAAAATACTTTATTCTCTTTATATTTACTTGAGATCAGGGAGAGAGAAAAGAATGGGAAAGCTGATTGAAGTGGTAGGTTTTAGAAGTGGGATCACTTTGTTTGAAGAGGAGATCTGAGAAGGACCAGAATTTTCTGGAAAGATTACAGTTTGATTTAACCCAAGACACAGAACAATTCCAAAACATTCTGGTATTTGTTCTTTAAAAAAGTTTACATTATACTCACATTGACTATGTCATACGCAAATGAGAGCTTGAATATCCAGTCCATTTCAGTATCGGAATTTTTCAAAACATCCTGAAAAACACAGTTATTTAAAATATCGCCAGGGCCCGGCCGGGCATGATTCAGCGGTTGAGCATCGACCTAGGATCCAGGAGATCGGGGTTCAATTCCCGGTCAGGGCACATGCCTGGGTTGTGGGCTCGATCTCCAGTCGGGGGCACAGGAGGCAGCCGATCAATGACTCTCTCATCATTGATGTTTCTCTCTCTCTCTCCCTCCTTTCCTCTCTCTGAAATCAATAAAGATGTTTAAAAAAACAAACAAACAAAAAAAAACAGAGAAAAGAAAAAGAATTATTTATAAAAAAAATTAAAAAAATTTATCACCAGGGATTCAACCTGAAGCCCAGTGAGCTTCGTATGTTAAATGGATTTGGTTCTAATACATTGGATAGTTTTGACCAGACTAATACAACCTGACAGCTGAAAACTTTCCCAGGAAATATCACCTGACTCAGTAGTGAGAAAGTTACTCAGTCTTGAGTTCTATAAACACTTCCTTGTTCCTGACTTAAAGTGAATGGTCACATACCACAGGTAGGGATGGGCCCAGGAATGCAATTCAGGAGTAGCTGTGACAGCTAAGGAGATGCAACCAAGCTCAGATGTTTTCCATCCAGAACAAAGGAAACCAGATACTTGGCAACTCTGCTAATCGGATCCCCTGCAGGCAGCCCAACAAGATAATTCAGGTCTTGCAAGTAGACCAGAGAGGAACAGCTCTTGGACCGAGGGGCAAAAGCACTGATCAAGCTCTTCATTAGCAGCTGCTAATCAAACCTAAGGTAAGATTTGCTATTGTGCTTACCTTAAGACTTCCTTTTTTACAATACTGAGTGATAATGCAGATGTTGGGTGGTTCTGTGCAAACACCAAAGAAGGGAACAATATTTTTGTGTCTTAATTCGTATACCTGAAAATAATAATGGTAATAATAGCTTATGATTATAGTATGTCCTCTGAGCTGGGGACAAAGCTATGTGCTTTATATACTTTCAGTTAATTCTCACAAAGACCCTGTGAGGTAAGAACTATAACTGCTCCCATTTTACAGATGAGGAAACTGATGCCCAAAAGGTAAAGTAACATATGGAAGATTATACCACTTGCTAGTGGCAGAGTTGGGAGGCAAATCCAGGCAGTCCGCCTCTGGCATATAAACTAGAGGAATGATCAAAGTCTAACCTTAGCCCGGAGATTAACTAAAATCACGTCACAGTAAATAGACCCAGCCCTGCTTCCTGGTGTTGATGGCTGTCAAAGGCAGCGTGTGAGCCACTGCAGATCACAGATTCGGAGTAAAGAGTCAGACCCCATGAACCTGACTTCCTCTGAGGACCAGGTTCAAGAGGGGTGAGCAGCCATCACAGACACAAAGAATGAAGATGCAGAATTAAGGCCAGGGAATGAGCAAGGCTAAGAGGGATCCCAGGTCTCCGGTGACTGAGTAAGGCCTAAAAGTCTGTCTAAAG